GGATTATCTAATCGAAGACTTTCAGTGTCGGTGGATTACAGAGTTTAATCAAGACCAATCTCCAGTCTAAAATGCAGTCGGATAATCGAGCGGCGGATGAGCGAGAGAGTACTGAATATTTCATTCTTCGAATAAGTACGTAGAAGTAAGTAGTTCATATACGTGGTAGAGACACGCTGTAGCTATATTATAGTTGTGGTACGAATGGGTCGGCTCAAACGGAGAAGGATCACGCTCTCACAGAATACCAGCGTAAAATAGCTGCTTAATACTACTGTGTTCGTTGTGTTGTAAGTGTAGAGATCCGGAGACCCTTTTTTACTGGAAATGAAGCATTACATCTTAGTCCACAGGGGTGACAAAGCATCCGCGTTTTGATCTAGGATAAATGTAGATGTCTATGGGCCACAGCTTACTATCAGGTGAACTGTGTGATCGTTTGTCACCCTTGTTCTATAAAAAAAGTACATTACTTGACATGGTTTGCCGATGACATAACTATATATCACTATAGCAGAATTATTGGAAGAGCTTTGCATTATCGTTAATAAGTCAGAAGTGTCTCCCAACGGACAAGTGTAAACATGGACAAAACAAAGTTAAATGTTACGTCCAAGTTATACTGACGCCAGTAGGTGCAACAAAACTACATTAACATTATGATTATCTTGCACTGGCAATTTAATACATTAAATGCCATCTGTCATGTTTATATGTTTTAAGCTATCTCATCGTATATCATAAACTAGTAACAACCTTACCATTTGTTAAGAACATTACGCTCTAAGTCGCAAACCACTATGTTTACATAGGACTAATTGTTCGTCTAGATAAAAAAATTAGATAGAAGTCCAACTCCGTACAAGAGGTTTATCGGCGGATCTAACTCAGCTGAACGGCGTTTGGCAGATTACGACATCGCCTTTTTTTTTTTTATAGGATAGGTTGACAATCGAGCACACAGTCCACCTGATGGTAAGTGGTTGCTGTGGCCCATAGACATCTACATCTATCCTCGATTACGAATCAAAATGCAGATGTGTTGTCACCCGTGAGGACTAAGATGGAATGCCTCGTTTCCAGTAAAATGGGTCGCCGGTTCTCTACACTCACCATACGAAATACAGCAGCATTAAGCTACTATTTCACGCTGGTATTCTGTGAGAGCGTGGTCCTTCCCCGGTCGAGCCGACCCATTCGTGCTACAACTATACATCTAATATAACTGCAGCATGGCTCTACCACGTATAAATGTATTAAACGTATAAAACGTCATGTATTCCTCAAAACTTGAAAATAAAAGTACAACTAAGTTGTTCCGCCTTTTGCCAGCGATGACATATGAGTCTGAAACACGCTCTGTCATAACGTGCTGACGAATGAGGAAGATCTCAAGATATGCTAAGAGGATTAGCTCTCGTCGATCAACAATCTATAAATAGCGCTTTTTTTATAACTTATCTGCACAATAGAATTCGTAATGGAGATGTCCACGGTAAGACTAGAGTAACCGACATAGCAACAAGGATCAGTAGGCTGAAGTGGCCGGTCATATAGCTCGAAGAAACGGCAACCGAACTTTACCAGTAACTTTACCAGTGCGAAGTGAAGGGCGGCCCCTCCATTAGATGAAGTTACATACTGTGAATATAATAAATACTGTCTATACTATGTATACATATAATAGCTGTACCTAACTGTCAAGTTATCTAAATATACATTTTTATTACATACATAATACATAAACACTCACGCCTGTCACCCAGAGGGGTAGGCAGAGACTACAGACTTCCATTTGGCACGATCCTGACACACCTCTCTCGCCTCCTTCACATCCATACACCTCCGCATACATGCTCGTCGGTTAAGGGTACTCCTAATTTGGCCTGTTTTCAATAAATCGCCAATTTGGTCGATAAATTTTCGCCTAGGACGTCCCTTTCCGACTCTGCCATTCACTTCTGCAACATAAATTTTCTTTGTCACTCTTTCCTCATTCATTCTTTCCACATGACCAAACCACCGAAGCATTCCTTTCTTAATCCTGGTCACAACATCATCTTGCAAACCACACTCTTCTCTTATTACACAATTTCTTACCCTGTCATTAAGATTCAGCCCTAACATACTCCTTAACGACCGCATTTCTACTGCGTTCATTCTACTCTCGTGCTTCTTCTGCCACACCCAACTTTCACTACCATATGTTAAAGTAGGGACCAACACAGCATTGTGAATTGCCATACGTGCCTTTTTCGACACATTTTGACTCTTCACAATAGAGTGCAGGGCCCCATTTACTCTATTTACGGGAAATAGAGTAAATGGGGCCCTGGGGGATAAGTCGCTCGCATTTTTATTGTAATCCGAAAAGACAACGGACACTTACTTCGTAATATTAAAAAATATATAACCAAAACACCGAAACACTGCTTTAAAATCACGGGCCGGAGTGGTTGGAAATGCACAAAAACCTGGTCGATTGGGACGTTTCGGTTATCGCAAAATCTGAACTCTGTTCTCAGAAGGTGGTTAGATGCCAAAACTTTGCTTGGCCCTAGGGCTGCGAAAAACAACGTTGGGATGTTTTGGGATGCTTCAAAAGTATTGAGATTTTTGTATCCCCTTATTACTTCGGTACTTATGTTAACAGATTTAATCAAAGTTATCCTTTTTTATTTTTGAATTTTAGAATTATCAACACTACAAAAAACTTAAATATCGTGGCACCATTATTTTATTGTGGTATTAGTTGGTATTTATAGTGTATTCTCATCTGGTTGGGCTGAATAAATATATAAAAGGAAATGATAAATATACATAAATATATATTTCATATACCAGCATACAAATAAATAAATAATACATAAATAAATAAAAGCCCAACCAGATGGAGGCCCTCCACAGGGGAGACCAAACGGCCGAGGGTTAGGGGGAAAGGGAGAGAAACCGGCGGACGATGCGGGCGGTATCGAGGAGCACCGCCTTCTGCATTTGAGGCTGGAGCGGTCCGTCACGGAGTCCCAGCCTCCTCAGATGACCCGAGAGGCTGACTGGGATTAGCCCGTTTGCAGAAACGACTACAGGAATAATTTCAGTCGGCAGACCACCCCACATGTCGGTCACCTCGTGAGCCAGGTCCAGATATTTTGTTCGTTTATCTGTTTCGGCTTTCACTAGGTTCTCGTCATACGGAATGGTAATGTCGACCAAAAATATCCTGAATTGTGTCCGGTCCATCAGCACAATATCAGGCTTATTCGCAAGAATAGTTCTGTCTGTGATGGCCCGGTCCCAGTAGAGCCTGGCGCGATCATTTTCGAGCACGGCTTCGGGCAAGTACATGTAATACGGCAATTTCCGGTCCATGAGACCGTATTTAAGAGCGAGCTCCTGGTGAAGAATTCTGGCTACTAGGTTGTGCCTGTGCAAGTACTCAGAGTTAGAAAGCGCCGAACAACCGGAGATGACATGCCTAAGTGACTCACCGAGATGGCGACAAGCTCGACAGATGTCGACGGTGCCATCCTTTAGAATGTATCTCCGATAGTTGTTGGTCTTAATAACCTGATCCTGTATTGCACAGACAAAACCCTCGGTTTCCCCGAAGAGGTCACCAAAGCGTAGCCAGTGGAGGGAGGCTACTGCGTCTACGAAAGGCTCATGTAGAGCCTTGTAGTACCTCCTGTGGAGATCCTTCTTCTTCCATACGGTCTCCCGGTCGGAAATGCTCTGCACTGCCGGGTCTTGCCATTGCTCGTTGGCTAAGGATAGAAGGGTAACTGCACACTTCGCGATTATGCATGGTGAGCGCGGTCAAAAAGCCACGCCCACCATGCTTTCGTGGCAAGTACAACCTCATTACCGACGATCTCGGATGATGCATCCTATGGGATGTCATAGTAGTGCGGACTTTTCTATCCAGGGCATTAAGTTCAGTCTGACTCCACCTGAGTATTCCAAAGGTATACATGACGACAGGCATGACCCAACCGTTATATGCGTGTGTCTTCACACCAGACAAAAGGCTGTTGAGCACTTTGGTGAAGCCTCATTCCTCAGCCTCAGCCTCATCGATACCGATGTTATGTTACACACCCAGATATCGGTATGTTTCAGCCTCGGAAAGGGTCCTTAAACTGATGGGCATAAATAAGTCTATGCCCTCAGATTTAGCAACCTTTCCCCTTTCAATATGGAGGACCGCACACTTATCCGTCCCCAGCTCCATTCCAATAGAATTGCTAAATTCACAAGTGATGTTTAGCATTCCCACAAGATGGGAGCGACTGGAGGCGAATAACTTGAAGTCATCCGGATAAAAAAGGTGGGTCACTTTTGTACCTCCTTTCCGAAGCTGAAAACCCCTCCCGGAGCCCTCCAGTAAAGTATTGAGAGGGTTCAAAGAGAGGCAGAACCAGATTGGACTTAGATAATCGCCCTGGAAGATACCCCTTCTTATCATTAGCCATCATCCGCTCGCCCACATGACAAAGGATCGTACTCCACTGCCCCATACACTGCTCGAGGAAGTCTCTAACTGTACAGTCTATCTTGTACAGCCTGAGGACTCTCTTTAGCCATGTATGGGGCACCGAGTTGAATGCCTTTCTGTAGTCTATCCAGGCGACGGAGAAGTTCCGACGGTTGCGTTTCACCACTTTGCCAATGACCACGTCAACGAGGAGTGGTTCCTTGGTTCCACGACCACCGCCCCGACATCCATTTTGAGCGCGCGACATCACCTGATTTGAGTCCAGGTGACGAGTGATTCTCGCGCTCAAAATGGATGTTAGTGTCTTGTATATGGTCGGTAGACACGTGATGGGGCGGTATTTGCTCGGGTCTGTGGTATCCTGGTCTTTAGAAACCAAATGAGTGATCCCATTAGTGAAGAGGCTCGGGAGCGACTTCTGGTTGAGAGCCTCTTGGAACTGTCGGGCGAGCACAGTGTGACACACCACAAACCCCTTCAGCCAGTAGTGATGCAGCCCGTCGAGTCACGGACTTTTCCAGTTCGGGGCCCTACGGACCGCCTCAGCTACGTCATCCGGCGTTATAATGACGGGGTCGATGGGCGTTATACTCGCACACTGACTCGCCACAACTTCCGTCCAAGAGCCCTCGCTGTGGTTTACGGGCTCTGACCACAGACCGCGCCAGAATGTTACAGTGTCGGCCTGATTCGGTGCAGGGCCCGTTACACTTGCCATTGGTCGCTCCAATAATTCATAGAGCCTCTTCTGATCACTCTGAAAGAGACGATTCCGGTTGAACCGACTCGACCTCTCGGTATATCGCCGAATCCGCTTTCCCCAAGCAGAGATTCCCTGCTTCAGATCATCTATGCGCTCCGTCAGTTTTTGCATTATATCCGGCTGGGACAAACTGACATTTGTCCCAGCAAATGCCATCCTGAGCACCATTATTATTTGACCATTGGCACCATTATTTTTATTATTATTATTATTTGTTGTTATTTATTTTTGTGAGATTTTTATAGCCATGCCAGGCTTGCCAACCATTGCAATAATCCCCACTATGAGGCAATCTCAAGGGGAGACCCACTTTTAGCAGTCGACTTTGATCGGCTGTGATGGTGATTATTATAACATAAATATACACATACGAGTATGGCGAAGTAATGAAATAGAAACGTCTCATTACAAACCTTTAATCGTTTATAGAGTTGATGGTGGAACTTTTGATTACCGTAACAATATCACATAAACACAGAATCTTAACAGTATTTCAGATCTTAAAGACTTTATTAGTGGTTATTTACGGCGCTCGATACGATCGTGATTGCATTTTTTACACTTTCACTTCACTAAAAAAACGGGAATGTCAATATATTAAGTAATTAGAAAGGCTTTTATGGAACAAATGTTTAAAGTTAATTGAATAGTTAAAGTAAAATAGATTAAGATAAAATCGGAATGCGTCGAATGGTTTTCTTTTTTCTTTTATAGTGTTTAGTTCTACGGATCACGGTTATAAAGTTACTTAATTTCTAGACATACGCTGTATTGTAAGTAAGAACAGAAAAGTCACTGACATTTTTTTATAATTAAGTAACGGATATGTTGACCTGTTGGCGACTTGATAGGGCTGTAATGATGATGATGATAGTAATTGATAATAATGAGTTTGGAATATCTAACAATGCGAACAATCGTCCTTATTTATTTAAAATAATGCTGTTATTATAAAAGGTTCATCGATTTAAGGACTCAAAGGTGCAAAACCAAATTAGTTTATTTACTTTATAGAAGTGAAAACGAGCTGATATTCCACCTGATTAATAACTAAATTTAAGCAAAGAAGGCCACAGGTCCGTTGTCCTATTCAAAACTAAAAAAAAAATGCCTCATAAACTGAAATAATATTAACGTAAAGCCCAATAGGACTTCACATATACTTAAATTAAACAAGGATACACATTACCCACACACGTGACGTGAACAATTGTTTGTGCATACAAACACTTTTTCTGAACAGGATTAGAACCCGAGTCCCTGCAGCGCCGCAACGAAACGCTTATACCCGTATTTATAAAGAAGTAATTACTTGTTACTAAGTAATTTCTTAGTTAAGTCATTACTTAAGGTTGAAATTCTTAATCACAAAATTTCATTCTATAGTTGAGTAACACACGTTACTTACTTGAGCAAATGCCCAAGTCACACTCTACGTTTGGTGGTTGTTTCTGTGTTCATAAACATCGTTCTTCATTATTATGAACGATGTTTTGGCTTACTGTCAAAGGTTTAGAAATAACCAACAATTCGAAGGCATAATATTGCATACAAGGTGGTAAAACTTAGGAACGACGATTAAGACGAATTTTATGGCGTCGACAATAAATATTCGTAAAAAATGTCGAAGTTAGATAACGTCTAAACTTTTAAAGTAAGTTAAAAAATCCTGAAAAAAGAGTTACATATATTCATGTAATCACCTGTTACTCCTATAAAGGGAGATGAGTTGGAGATGTCAGATGGCATGAAAGGGTTGTATTCCGGGCTTCTTAGCCTAGCTAAGATCTATTTGCCTATCGTGGCAAATTCGTTACCCCGTGAGCGCTTACTGGGCGCCTGGTTGTCAAAATCAGAAAAAAAGAATTAATAAAAAATGTTTAATTAATTCTTTTTTTCTGTTAAAAATAATAATTATTCCATAAAATTAAATATGTAAATGTAAATAGTGTAAATCTTACAACATAAATATAATGTTTGATTATTATACTTATTTGCTTAATTTCTGTTCGAATGATTATTTATTCGATATAATATATATTTAAAAAAAAATTAAAATTCTATCTCCTCTACTATAATATTATCGTCTATATTGTTACAACAGCAAAAACCGTTCAAATGCTATCCAAAGTTTCCATTTTTTATCCAAAATAACCTCAAAGTAGTGCTCAAGTAAAGGAAATGGTGACTATTACTTGGCTGAGTATTCTAACTTTTGACAGTTCTAACTTGGATCAATTACTTAACTATCGAATACAAATCGTTACTTAAGTAATTACTTTTACTCAAGTAATTACATTTACTCGTTTATAAATACGGGTGTTAGACTCTGTGCTACAGAGCCGTTAAACTATTGTGTGCTCTCTTATTGTTTAAACTAAATACATATATAATAAATATTCGGCTTACTATAGATAACAGAATAATGAGGTTGTTTTTTGGAAAAGATTTTCGGCATAACGGAGGATCTTGTCAAGCCATTTGCGGTAGTATTTTTAATATTTCCCCCTAAGACAGGCCTGTTTTAAGCGTTAAAACGAAAAAAAATCCTAAAATCTCCATACATAATTTTGACAACGCAGTACTTGACGTGCTCCATATCTTGTCATGCTGTGCTCGCACGCAGGGTACGTATCGCGGCGAAGTAATCGACATGGACGTTTGCACGCCGCCGTCACCGCCGCCTCGCACATTATCAGCTTAAAAACGCCAATGCCGCAAAAGGCGAGCCGCGAAATCAAAAGTTCCTTGAACCGGCGGCAACGCGTTATTTTTGTTTTTATTTACAATTCCGACTTAATTGCACCGCGCCCGTGTGTTCTGCGATTTTGCAATTTCACCGGTGCGGTGCTCGATTCATCGCGAGCGTGTTGCTCTATAGTGATGTGCCTGTGCTTTAAACATCGTAGCAGACGCGTACCATGAACATGAATGAATCGTAAGAAAAGTTTGTGAGAGATAATATTCGTGCTACAACCATGATATAGCTGCAGGGTGGCTCTACCACGTATAAAAAGTATCTAAATCCATAGCATCCATTTTTGAAACGACCACACCAGTACTTAGGTTCTACGACAGTACGACACCGTTCCTGAATTCGTAGTATACGCCAAGTCTAAGTAATTTTCTTGTTGCTATTTATTTTTTATTTAAGACTACGTATTATCATGTGTATTTTCTGTCAACTTCACATTGTATATTGTGTTAGTATAACGAGAGCCGTGGTAGCTCAGATGGTTAGCGTTCGCTGTAAATATAACAGAACGCGAGTAACCCGGGTTCGATCCCCGCCGGCACCAATCAAATTGTTAATTACAATTTTAAGTGCTGATTTACCACGTGCTCGGCGGTGAAGGAAGCTACTAGCTAAGCTAGGAAGAAGGAAAAAAAATATTTCGAAGACATATGTGAAGTTCGCCAACACGCATTGGGGCAGCGCGGCGGACACTTCCTTGCCCCAAAAACCCTCTCAGAAATGAGGGAAGGCCTGTGCCCAGCAGTGGGACGTATATAGGCTGCAACTTTACTTTACTTTACTTAATGATGGCAGTACAACACATGCCTATGTCGAAATCAACCTTCTATAGTAACATAACTTTAATCACTATGTATTTTTGATTCACATGTTTTGCATTCTTAAAAGGAATATAATAAAGCAGACCTGTTTTAGAAAATATCCTATATCCATAAAATCCAAGCGTAGATAAAATATATTTATAAAAATAAATATGTTTTTCTATCGTTCAAAACCGTTAACGTACAACAGAGATATTACATTTAACAAAAATCATTAACTGTGTATTGGTACTTTGTGATTCTTCAAATGACATTATTATACCGTACCAAATTTAACAGTTTTACATCGTGCAACACTATTTCACAAAATAACGGAGACCATTCTTGGCGGTGGGAGCTACATAGGGCTCTCCAAAATCTCGTTCCGATCTCGGTGCCTGTGCCGGCAATCATTTCGCCATCAATTATCGACCCGAATCCAACTGTCGGAACTGACACTTGCACGGCTCGGCTTTTTTTAAATATTCCCCGCCGACAAACCTTTCAATCAATGTAACCTCTGTACCTTTAGACGTCTAAATTATCCAAAGAGTTTTTGTTATGGCCAATCATGAATAAGTTCGAACGTTATATAGTTTACTGCCTTGTGAAGGTATTTATGAGAGATTTGGAAATGAGTATAAACTTTGGTATGCAGATATGTAATTAAATTTTAAAGTGTACTAAAATTTTATGTCAACACATTCGCATAACGGTTTAAACCTGCTTTATTTACCCTAATAAATTTTATTAGAATAAACTCCTGATGCAATCGTTTATTAAGACTGTTATAATAATACTCGTAGCAAACCACATCAATTAAAGAAACGCATCAAGTTATCCTCTCTCCTTTCACTTGAATATAACAGAAGCTTTGCCGCTCTATAAAACCAAAACTAGGACGAGCACAGAGACAGAAACACAAAATATTTTACTATAACTAATATATTAAGTAAAAATAGCAAACAAGCTTTAGTGAATAATTAGGAACACTTTGAAAAATCGATTTTAAAAAACTAACTACACTAAACTATACAAAAATCGACTAAAATATTTACTATAATGTTAACTGGCAAAATGGCGTCGCTAAAGTAGCACCCTTTTGACCCTTTATTAATTGGTTGACTGATGAAGAGCTATCGTATCACGCAGCCATCCATGCAAACAAGTCAAAGATGTTTTACCTATAAAACATCTTTGGCTGTAGTTTTTGAGTTATAAGAAAGTGACCATATTAGCCGGATGGCCCTCACGTACTATAGTGATAATTAATACTTATTTTAGACAGCTATAATCAACGCTTAAGGCCTTAAGGCCATAAGAAATAAAAAATATCTACATGTTAAAAATAATGTAAACACTCTCGATTTAAAAAAAAATCTTTCGCGCCAAATATTTCTTTTGGCAGAAAAAAGAACACAAAAACAGGCTGGTCCTGGAAGGCGCCAAAAAGCCGCCGCCATTCTTAGAACGGGAATGAATGAAAAAAGCCATAAAACTAAGCTCGCCTCGCCGCCAAACGGTTTCACGAGCCGGTGCACCAAAATTGTTCTGGACTTAACAATTTAACGATAACAAGCGATCTCTTTTTGCTCTTTCCCAGCTTTTTTGTT